TCAGACGTGTTTCAATCAGATGTGATTATTTACGTCTGTGGACCGACCTTTAAAGTAGATATTCATTGATTTTAAAAACTAACTTTATTTTCATTATTGCAAAATTGAAACTTTGATTCGACAAGGTTATCAAAATTCAATGCTTGGAAACATTCGAAGTAATTATTTTAATAAATTACAAAACGCTTAAATACAGCCCCGGCATAGCACCTGAAGAGCTCTCCGAACGCTGCTGAGATGTGTGAGATCACAGTATCGACATGATTTGCACAAGCAGACGATGTCCCATGACATCTCACACATTTTCAGTGCATGTGTTTTCATCTTCTCTTGAGTTTTCTCTTACTTCACTACCGTCAGGCTAAATGTATAATCTATTGCCTCACTCTAAACCACGCGCATGTTTTTATTTTGATGACAAATGCAGCTTTACAAAAATAAAGGAATCTGTCGCTTGTAAACAAAATAAGACGCTATTGTATGTTCAGCTGCACACACCGCGGTATGTTCGGCGGTTGAAGAGGGAACAAATGCCGTCCTTATATCATTCCGGGTTTTTTTCAATTTAAAGGTCTGGTTTCTTTGATTGGTAATTAACCCCTATTCTGTGTATTTACAAGCAAAACATTTTAGTTATCAGAATCGGGTTGTATCCCCTTTTCAATGGTTTGACATGCCATTACATTTATACACACTAAAATCATTATAATTTGACAAATAATAGCTTTGCAATTATGTTCATTCTTTATGAGATGTCGTCTGCTTGGGCAGTTTTGGTCCATATAGTGACGTCATTAAAACATCGTTATTTTTACGGCAAATCTCTCGTATATCCCAGCTGCTATGGAGATGGTTGTATGTGTATTTTTATCAATCACCCGATGTTAAAAACACTGTTTTTGTATCTGGATTGGATCGATAAAGGTATCATGTTTATTAGTTATTCGCTTCATCCTCCTCACCCTGGTAGCAAACTTTTGAAGAATTGATACTTGATTATGATATTTATCGAAGGGATATGAGGAAATACAATTTTCTGATGAAAAATGTTCCTTTTGATTGGTTGGTCTCATCAGACCTGAATCATGATGTAATCTTTGATGCCTCTGTCAATAAACTTGTACAAGCTAGGAAAGTTCCAAAATATGTTTATAATGTCATTCTAGAGCCACATGTTCCCGAAAATAGATTAACATTCTGGAAAGAAGTTTCTGACCCAAACCCTGTCATTTGGGACAAGATTCCTATTGATAATTTGAAATGTTCTATAAGCACTTGCATTCGTTCATTTTATTTCAAACTATTTCATAAAGCCATGGCATCAAATAAATCCTTGTTCAAATTTAAACGTAAGAATTCTCCTAATTTTTCATTTTGCAATGAATGTTAGACTGTAAAACCCATTTGGGATGATACCATTACAATTTGGGATGATACCATTACAATTATTCAATGTTTGAAAGAATATTTGGCTATGAACAAAATAAGTTTTTGACCTATTTATTTATTGTGCTTATATTCATTGTATGCAATAATAAAGTGCTTAAAATCTGCATGAAGAGATTGTGATAAACTCGAGATGCAATTGACTTTAAGGGTAGCCATGGAAAAAACAAACGTGAAAAAGCAAGAGACCTACAACTAGGATGCAGATTCCGGAAAATTCTTGAAATTCTTCAAAAAGACTGGGGTCATACTCGCCTATCATTTTTCTGATTTTAAATTTTGATTAAATAGTAAATTGACGGTTATAAAAGGAAGTTATGGTCATAAGAGAATAGGTTAGAAAGCTTTACTAATTTGAAATATGTTTGCAGCGAGGTTTCTTATATTTACTAGAATACGATACAAGAAAAGAAAGAAATTACATCATTATTCTCATTTTCCATCACTCTGTAGGCTATATTATTTGAAAAGTATTTCTCTCAAGTCATACATCTAATAACGTCTTGCCAGTCAGACGTACAACATTCTTTCTTGAGCTCACTTGTAACTCACTTGATCTAGAATTCTTCAGTCTTAGACTGCTATTCCTGTCATGGTTTCCTTCGATTGTCAGGGTCCGGGTCGTCTTTCTACTACTTTTCCCATCCAGATATTAAAGCAGTTTTTTCTGGTACTTGTCACAATGTTCTGAATAATCCTGGATCTTCTTGTCATTTATGTTCCACCCAGTCCCCTTTCCGACAGATTAATTAAAAAATACCTTACTACACTGACAACAAACACAACTTTTTCGGAGAATTTTTAGAAAGGAGAAGAGACTTCTGATGAAATTTGAGATGAATAAAACGTTAGGTCGTATTTATTTTTAGCTCTTGCTGAAGGTCTGCAGCCCTGCACAGTGTTTAAAGTTATATCCATTTATTTCTTTATGCATCGGTCAGTTACAAATTACAATACAATTATAAATGATATAAGAATGCAAACCAACTTCATGTTGCACTAAAAGAAAGACACACTATAGGCCTACAAATCATGAAACTTATTTCAACAATGAAATATGTGTAGTCACATTTAAACAAATTTACATAAATAAGAGGCATTACACTTTTACAATAACCCCCAGAATCTTTCAAGACATAAACACATTATAAAAACATTAAGTTAACACATTCATTCCTTATCCCTGCAATGTTAAAAAGTATATAGTGTGACTTTTTGCTCGCCCTCACCTCTACATCCTCTACGTATTTATTCAATTTCAATGAACATGTAATCGCATCAGAATAAACGTATTGATATTCAATAAAATATTAGGAATAGTACGTGGTTTGATCATAAGTTTTGTCACATAACAAGAGGTAGTAAAATGGCGGATGCTTCATCATTGTCCGATTGTTAAGGCATTTATTTTTACGAATGTGTATTTCCAAAGATTAGTTTTAATTTAATATCAATGAACATTTTTGAGCAAAAAAAAGTGATTATATGCATTTAATTTACCGTACCTTTCGTGAACGTGGGGGAAACGCAACAACGTGACACAACCGATCTTTCGTGAGTATGAGAATATGTTTTCACGAAAGATCGTGTACGACTACCTGGCAACCCGACCTGACGCAAAGAACCGATTGAACGAAGTAAGTCGGATTTATTCGTGATTTCTTGATCTACGGGCTTTGTCCTACACTTCATTAGCTTATCAAAATGTGATTGAATTATATACTGATTCGGCGTTTCTTCATATTGGTTTTCCCGAAGGTGAATTTAAATATACTATACCGGCATGTGGATAGTCGTTTTTATGAAGGTTAATTTTTCCAAAGGTTCATAATTTTGAGACACAAAATTCCCAATACCACGGGTTTATAACTCGAACAATTAAATATAAATCATAATTTTAAACATTTCATACATTACTTCGAAGTTTCAATATTCCAAAGGTACGTAACTTAGAAAAGTTGTTTATCATTATTATTTATTTATTCAAGTTTTATTTAAAATAGAAGGTACCATTCAGTTCAAAAAAATGTTTTCCAATTAATTGAAATTAAAATCACTGATTCCGGAAACATACAACCAGGCTCTATTTCAATTTTGGAATTATGAACCCTTTCTTATTTCTGGAACTATGAACTTTAAAAAATATATATTATATTCAGAATTACGAAACCCATTTTCGGAATTGAAAACTCTACTTAAAGGTATTACAAAGTTGTGGTATGGGGTCATGAATTTGGTTCAAATGAACATATTGGAAGCATATGCGATCCTACAATATTCAGTGATCGTTGTCGCGGTTGAAATCGAGTCTAAAGTTATGAAATTGTAAATTATATACTCTTTATGTTGAATAGCTCCCTCTTAAGGTAAAGATATCGATTAAGCTATGAAACAATGTTTCTTGACTAAAATCGACCGATTACCTATTACCGTTTGGAAATGATATATCACAACTACATATTCTGAGATTTTCATGGTCGCAGCTACCATTGTAAGGCCGTAGGCGCTATCTGAAATTTATGAAATAAATTACCGGGAGCACCGGTAAATTGCTATATTCATTTTTTCCCGAAAGCAGAAATGTTTTAGGTGCTAAATTTTCTAGTGCTTATAATATCATCCAAATATATCAAAATTGTAAATAATCACTATCCAACCAATTTTCAAAATCTCCCAAAACTTCGTAAAATACCTTTAATTTTCGTAATCGTGAACCGTCGCACAGTGGGCCAGGGAGGAACCAAAGTGCGCCAAAACTCATTTTGGGGGATTTATCTTTTATAAATCCAGAGGAAATGTTTTGATTTCCAGGGATTTCCGCTTAAATTGTATTACCAACATTTTCTCTGATGTCTAAGCTTTAAGTTGATACCAGATTTTGCTGCCCGTTATCATGTTAGAGCTGTTCTCCTTGCAACATAGCACCGAAAAATGTGTATGTCTTGGTCCGCCGAGTCAGAACAAGTGTCACGCGCCCCCATGCGCCGTGATTTATGACCGCGAATCCTTCATGATTCAGCCGCGGACCCCCAAAAAAAACATTTTTCGGGGCAATGTGGCAAGGGAAATCGGCTCTAACATAACAACGGGCAAGATAGGGCAGCCAAATTTGGTATCAAATTAAAGCTTAGACATCAGAAAAAATGGTGGTATTAAAATTGAAGCGGAACTCTGCGGAGATCTAAACATTTTCCTTGCATTTATAAAAAACATGGATAATTAGTCCATTTTTAGTGAATTATCCCATAATATATCATGAAGATTGTGTTTCTATTAATTTTAACCCATTCATGCAACGAAATGAACTATCAGGAATATGTGAGAGCAATTTCATATCAATAACTTAAAAACTTCATGTTAAATTGAAAAATTTATAAAATATGTCACTTTTGCACTTAACCGGTGAATATGTAGGATTTTGCTGTTTGAAGGAGTAAATTTATACCCTTATTGTGCATACCGGAATTAAATATTTTACCGAGGTATTCCTCAATGTATTACCTTTCAACTAGGCAAGAAAAAAATTGAAGAAAAAAATCACCAAAAATGAGTTTTGGCGCACTTTGGTTCCTCCCTGGCCCACTGTGCGTCGCAGGAACGTACTTCCGGAACCACGGACCTCCGGGTTCATGAACCTTCGGGAAAACAACATGTAGCCACCGGAATGATGCTCATTTAGATCTAAGATTTTCTTGTAGCCTTTAGACCACGACGAATCCGAGATCGACCGTAACGACGACCACCATGATGATGAGGGATAATGCCAAACCCTCCAAAGATGAAGCTGATCAACATTTGACAAAAAAGGAAAAAGTACAATAATTGTAAAAAGACACAAAAGTAAATTGTTCGCGTGGTAGTAACAATAATGTTTACGAAGTATTGAAACATTGACGTTTCTTGCAAGTTCGATATTTCCTATAATCAAATGTCTATTTCAAGCGATACTGGACTGAACTGTTTGCCCTAGCAAACTCTTTATTGCACAGCACCATCTTATGATGTACTTGCCAACAGTACTTGCCAACAAATTAAGTTATACATGTATAACGTTTAATTTTTAATGTGCGAACCTACACCTAATAAGCATTGTTTTCAAGTAAATTTGTTTTTTTCATTTCCTGTTACCAAATAATTTTGCATTACAATGACCAAAATAATGTCAAATATATTGCAATGCTCACTTCTGTTATAGCATTAAGTTTATTATTGTTTGTCATTGTTTATATTATGTGAAAACGAAATGAAAAATAAATTCGCTCTGTATAGAGCTACTACTACTTAACAAAAAACAGTGCATAGCCCAATATCTAATTCCCACTTCGCAAACAGAGGACCCGATGCAAGAACCAACAATCAAAATTGTCATCTATATTAAAAGTCAGCTATGAACGAAAGATTATCTAACTTTTCTGAGATTCCCTTGTTTTCACTCTCAGTTAAATCAAGCAATATAAAATATTTTGTCTAATTCTCAACTTTAAATGTACTCTGTAAACTTATTTGATTACAAACATACTTGGCAGTATTTCGTCACTTGTATAATTCATTTGTTCTATATTACTGTAAGGTATATGTCATTTAATTTGTGGACATTTGAGTGGAAAATAAATCAAATCAAATACATGTTTTGAAAGAGTGTTATATTTCAATTCGGTTGGTATCATATTTGTGTGGTATGTATTCACGCTTGGATGACGGGGAGGCATTTTTTGCGAGAGTGCAAAAATCGACTTACGCAAAAGTATTATTAAAAGAGAGAGAGAATGAATTGAATGTATCATATGAGATGCATTGCATATGCTTTATTCAGAAGTAAAGTCGCACACACACAGACACTCACATAGCACATTTAGATGCAGACTCTCCGAGTTCTTTGGGAGAAACAACTCATTGTGATGTTAATGCACCAAACTTTCATTATGGTATTATGATTGAATTTGAATTCCATTTTGATATTAATTAGGAAAATTTGCGATTTACAGAAATGTTCATTACGTAATAATGTCTTGACTGCGTGTATTATACATTTATCTGAGTGTGCGGGTGCGCGGAATTGTGTGTGTGTGTGTGTGTGTGTGTTTGGTTATATGCTTGTGTGTGTGCGACAGACTGAGTATGACTTTCTATGTGTTTTGATATGTGTGGCATGATTACTTTTGTTGGGGATGCTACTTTGATCTGCAAAGAGAGAATTAAAACTCTTTCATAAGAGGTATAATAATTTACTGTTCATGAATGATTTTAAAAATAATAATCCATTTTCTGGTTCTTTTTTTTTTAACTCACACTGTGTAGGAAAGCAGCAATTAGTTACAAGACTTTTTTGGGGGGTACTATAGCTGTTTGTGACCTCTTTGCAAGCTTTCGTAGCTTGTTATGTATGCAAATTAGTTTATACTGCCGGACTATAGCTGCTACAGCTGACCTAAGATGGCGCTAGATGGGTTTTGCGGTAGTTCTTCTAAAACAGTATGGCTTTAACATTTTGGGTCATATCTTCTTCTTACCTCTTCCGGGTACACAACGAACTGCCATTGGATCACACCCATCAAGGGGATCGCCCCACGCTGTGTGTTGACATCCAAATACGGTGTTACACGTGAAAATGGCTGATGTGCTGAACCAGGTCATTGTCCCAATGTTCCCATCACCAACCGTCTGTGCATCAAGACTAGTAGCATCCGTCGTGTCCGTATAACCAAGGTCGGAACATACAAGCTACTCACGCACACAAAGAGAATTAGGAAAATATTAGGGTTGTCGAAAAGAAGAAAAGGTAAAAATCCTGTAGGGGGTATTGGTCAGGTACAAATAGACAAATAAAGGGCCACCAAAAGGTGAAAGCCGTGATTCTGAAGGGAAAAAATCACCTTTTTGTTTCGCGGTGATTATTGGTCAGTTCTTACACTTGCAAGTGGCTTGTGTTGTAGTGTGTTTCAGAAAAGAATATCTTTCGGCGTCATGTTTCAGAGTTTTTAAGTAGTTGCCAAGCAACCTCTATGTAAATATCGCGACATTGATTGGGAACGAAGTGTACTTGGACCTGTAAGATTTCAGTCTCTTCTTCCTATTTTGTTTCCATTCCAGCTGGACGCAGCCTAGTACGTAAAGTATGCACTTGACGAATAAGACGGATTAATGACTCTGAAGAGAGGAATCCAGCCGTACTCTCGTTAAATAATAATAATCTATTGTTTTATGTTCATATGCATGTATATATATATATATCATACGGAAAATTAAATCAATTCAAACCAAAAGAAAAGGTTTATTCTTATCGCTACGACTCAAATAAAACGAGAGATATTACAAATCGAGTGTAACATAATACATAAAATAAGACAAATTAAAAGACAAGACCGTTAATCGTGACATATTGATCATGATAGATATATTCTGAACGCAGACAGACAAAGGCGAAGTTATTGATTTTTGTGAATTTGATACGGAGTGTGTAACTTATGGAATCTTAAACTTGCAGCAAAATCGCGATTTTTTAAAACTCGCCAATGCGCCTTCTCGCCTTTCCGTCTTTAAACAAGGCGCCTCGGCGCGTATGAGCGACTCGCCCCCTCGTTCAAAAATAAGACGGCTTGGCGAGTTTTTAAAAGTTGTCTTAAAATAAAGCAACTTGGCAAGTCTTTACAATTTGATTCTTGCCCGTCTAAAACATGGTGCATTGGTAATTCAACGAGAAAAATACAATCCATGTCATCATGGTGTCGATGGTGTCACTTCATATTGTCTTTGAGTACGCATGATCGTTATAGACATTTCGCGTTAAAATGGGTATTTCGGGAATGTTGAGAAAAAAAAACATAAGCGTAGGATTATGCTATTTTGTGAGCCTAAAAGGTGGTATGTGTTTTAAAAGAGCAAGAATTTGATTTGAAAAAGTCATATCTTCAAGATCTTGCAAACATGTTAAAGCGTACTTAAAACTTTGGCGAAAATACTAGTAAGATAGATTTTGTAAATGTGTGGGGAGAATTATTTGTACTCGCGTTTAAGTCAAAAGGGTCATGTTTGGCGTAAAATGTTCTTGGAAATCTGCAAAATTAGGCGTCATTTTTTGTATCCGCTAACGATCATGTGTCACACCTCTGAATATGAAGTGACGGCAAGGCGCCTGCCACGTGTACTTACTTCTGAATGACCGAAATTGTCGCAAATGTTTCCCCATTGGCCGTCATGGTAGATCTCTACAAGTCCTGACTGGTTGTTGATATCGTTTGTGTTAATGTCGACCAACCTTATTGGATGGTATGCCACAATATCTGTACACGAAACAGAAAAGAGAAAGAAGCCCCATACATCATATACTTCGTCTTGTGATAAAAAAATAAAAAATGTAAATATCAATTTTCTGAACAGTAAACAGTAAATTCGCTAGAACCCATTAAAATCATTACATCATCATTATGCGTATTAAAAGAAAAAGGAGGTACCAGCACCTCCCTGGTAATGCCTAGGTCACATTTGCCGCGGCAGCTGTTGGGTCTTTAATATCTACGGCCAATAGCAATTATAGGGCCGCCGCAGCATTCCCATTATCACATACGTTATTCCTGGATTACATTTGGCCTGTGAGTAGTCTATACGGAGCCCGTATCCTTGCGGCCTCCGTGTGGAGGCAGGAGGTGGTCGTGAACATTTCGTACTGATTAACGGGCTCCGCGACCTCAACTATTTAGTTTCACGAGAAGTTATACAAATTTGAAGAATCGTAAGCCCGTAGCCCGTAGACATGTCGTAGGTGGCATTTCACAATCCCGCAAGGGCATCGCGCGGAGGCCTGGCGCTGATCGTGCATCAAACGCACGATTTTTTATTTTTTTTTGGAGCGGTCACCGCGTCTTTTCCCCTCAACCTCTGCACGGAAGCTGCACGGGCTCCGTACGATTTTTAATCAGCCTCTATACAGATTATCCCCGGCCTGCCCCCTAGGGCGAATACAAGAAATTGCACGATGCTCGTAGATCATGTTAAAACAAACATCGTAACCCCTTACCTCCTACGATGCCCGAAAAATCGCACGAAAAATCGTAAACAAAATTAATTTGCGTCGCCCGGGGCAAATGTAATCTCGGCATAAGTCACGCCATTTAAGATGTTATATGAAGATATTAACAAAAACCAAGTTATTAAAAAGAAAATCCCTGCCGTTTCACATCTCTCCCTTGAAAAAGAAATTGGGGGCTTCTGCTGACAGACTGGTTGATTTTGTACCCTACAAAAGTAAGGTATATTTCGACAAGCTATCCCGTACCCAAACGTAGAGGGATGTGTATATACCCCCGGTTTTAAGCAAGTGCCCTTGGCAGTGAGGTAAAACAAAGAGAAACCTATGACAGATACCAGACTTACCAAAGGGCTTACACACAATGCCTGTCTCGTAACTAGAACCACTTCCAGTCGTATCAGTTAGGGCACGACACCGGAAGCTGTTGTCTAAGGGTTGAAGCTGACACAAGACCCCTGCATCCTGTGAAGCTTCTTGGAAAGGCATCTGTGCTGCTCCATTGTAAGAATACAACGCTTCATCATACCCTATTGCTTTACAAAGCCTGTTATAGATAGGATTGTACACAAATGGGGTAGGAATCACCCAAAATCTGGCCCATTCTCCGTCCTTGTAGGTTTCCACCCGTCCTTGCTCTGAAAACTCACTTCCAGTCATCCGCAAGTCCCACTCTTGATTAAAAAAGAAAATGCATTAAGTGGATTATTTTGTATTATTACATATTCATAACAACAATCACAACTACAACATTAATAATTAATATAATAATAATAATAATAATAATAATAATGTCAATAATTATAATAATGTCAATAATTATGATAACAATAGTAAGGATAACTAGACATACAATTGTGTCACAACGATATGCGTGCAATGACGCACGTGTTTCTACGGTTCAAACGAAAGAACTTCTCTCGGGCTATCCAGAGCAATTTGTAAGAAGTGACAGTGGAGATAGGTAGGGCGTAAGAAAGGCCACCAAAACGGCCCGAAACGGACAAATTGGCACCTGGACGGTCACGCATGAGAGATTCCGGTGAACGAAGAATACAGTGACTTTGAAGGGAGTTTGAAGTGAATTTGAAAAGAGGAAAAGACCTAGAAAGGGTTCGCAAGCACTGTGTGCAAAACCAATGGGATTTGGCGCATGATGAACATGTGGTGACGCGTGCTGTGGCGCAAACAGCCGCCAATACTAACACAATCATGCAGAGTATAAAATCTTAGTTTTAGTTGGCAACTTGGAATATCATTGCAAAATTTCAAGGAAAAGAAGGACGGGAAGGGGGCGAAAATCAGTCTGAAAAACGTCATATCCAATACGTGTTATAACTTGGTATAGTGACTCTTGTTCAAACGCAGTTTACTCAAATATTTCTATAATAACATATTTTGGTATCATGCGAAAGAACACTTCATTGCGGTCAGTTTGGCACCATTGGCATCTGCGTGCAATGTATTGCACGCATTAAACTGGCTGTTATGTAATGCATAGTAGATTCATCATTTGGGCAATAATATTGCGCTGACGTCATAACATTTTTACCAAACATCGCCGAAAGTTATCACGTGCTGGGATACATGTGTACGGTAAGTCTCATTGACGTTGGTATAAGGATCGTCATTTTACAGCAAGATGAAGGTATTTCGTAATTTTCTTGAAAATGGCAAATTTGGAGGTCAACTTTCTCAAATTTGGTCAGCGTTATGGTATATAATTTTGTATTTGGCTAGAAAGGGCATATCTTCAAGTATCTAAATCTAAAAAGGGTACGGTTTGGGCCAGAAAAGATGGAGAAACGGCCACAGAAAAAGAAGGCCAATTCCCCGAACTTTAAAGGGCGCTATTTATTTTTTGCATATTCATTGCAGCATTAAATTCAGCATGGCTTTGTGCAATTGTGAGATAAAGATACTGCAAGAAATTGAGACGAAACGGGAATGGAATGAGAAAGTTATGGCAATTTTAGATTTTTAGAGGTCCATTTTTCAAAAATTTTAGAGATTTTTCACGAAGTCGGTTTCGGATTTTAATTTTCAGTGCGAAGATGGCATTTTAAAGGTCAGGTTATACGTCGCAGATGAAAAACATATCTTGGACTATTTGAAGGAATTTGTTAGAACTCTGTAGGATATAGGATAGTTGAGAGAGGAAGGAAGAAGGAAAGGCCTTAAAACGGACCAGAAACGGACAAAATGGCGATTGGACGGTTATGCATGAGTGATTTCGAAAATCGAAAAAGTAGTGATCTTGATGAGATGCTAGAGACTATGCCTATGGCATCTGAAAGGAAAGGGTATGATGAAAGGATATAACTAGTGATAACAAGCACTACGTGCAAAACGAATGTGATTTCCTGACGAAAATACTGAATACACGGAAAATACTAAGGAGAAGAAGAATATTAATGGGGACCGCATTTTGTATGCTGCTTTTGTTTTACCCTGTATGTTTTTTATAGCTTGGCAAAAGAAATTGAACTGACAAAGATTATATTGAATTATTTAGATTATTCCATTCAAATATAGAAGAAACAATTGGGCTACACTACAATCTGTTTGAAATCTAGGCACACGTAAAAATCCACTGTCTACTTGCCTTGTAGGATGCTCATGTACATCATTAGGATTGATTAAGCCTACCCAATGGTAATAGTGTGGTACGGTATGTCACCGAAACAGCTCCCGTAGGATTTTTTGCCAAAGTTCTTTTTTTTTTCTTTTTCTTTTCTTTTTTTTTCTTCTTTTTTTTAATTTTTTAATTTTTGGATTCATTGGGGTCCAAGCTATCAGAAGTTGATGGGGTTCAAATTTTCCCGAAGAGACCTAATTTCCCTATTGCGCGTTATATATGCCAATTTGACGCCCAATATGGACCCCCCAGGAAATGAAGGAGGGGTCTGAAAATTTGAACCCCATCATTTTTGGCCAATTGGGACCCTTTTGAAGCCAAAATAGCAAAAAAAAATCAACATTGGCAAAAAATGCCATACCATACCGGCATACCACACTATAAGAACGAGATGATCAAACTGATATCTTACCTTTATTTGGTCCGCATCTGACCTGAGCAATGTTTTCAGGAGCGCATGAGGTCGGGGTGTCTCTCTTAGTCACAGTGCAGTCTTCTAGTCTTTCCTCATCACCATTACACACAATATCCCATTGAAAGATATCAGTAGAATCCTCTGGTCCTAGATCGACCACATTGGTTGCTGTCCCACCTTCGTATCCCTGCATACGACATGCCACAGTGGCTTCCTTGTCAGTCCATGTTTGATCACAAATCAACGCACGTCGACCCTCTACTCGGTAATACACCACGCCCTCAAAGGAACCGGCACCGCTTACGAAGTCAATCAATGAGTCGTCGTTTGCTAGACAGGACAGATGGAACGAGATCGAAACATATGATGATAACTTCAGGGCACTCTTGCATGAAAAGTTCGGATAAGTGATTCTGATGTTATTCCCTGTAATTATATGGTATTCAGAAACAGTTTGAAAAGCTCAGACAAAAATTAGGTTTGTAATTGGTGTGAAGAACCATAGACCTACCCACAAATACACCTGCCTAAACCTATATAGCTTCGTCCAGATATGAGATGGCAAACCGCAAGTTATTTTTGCATGACAGTGTGTACGCTTCACACTACTTTTTCCTATAAAACCATGATTATAAAGCCCCCCTATTAAAGTGTTTGGAGCCCCAAATTTTCCCTAAAATCTTATCTCGAAATTTCACGTGAAAGAGGATGTCTTTTAACACTCGCATGTGCATGATTTTTTTTTTAAACAAATGTGTTTAAAGGCAAATATTAGTGAAAGAATGCAACATTTGAGTATACCTGAGAAGAAAGAAGAGTCCACTAGCGAACCCTGAAACCACTGTGAAATGTTTGTCGGCTTGCAAGAAGGGGTGATTTCGGACGCATTTTAGGTTACCTGCCTCTCCGCGCAGGGTTATGGGTGCAAGTTAAGGCTAAGCTGAGGGACATCTTATTTTTACATTATCACTAATTAAAGATACTATGTCCCTTTTGCGGCCAACATCAAATTCTGTAGAAATTTGCAGGAATTATGAATATGTTATGTATGTCCTATCTGTGAAATTTACAAGTTAGCAGTGTCCTAATATTTAATTTATGCAAGGAAACCCGTTTACTTGCTAGACTTCACTGTCACGACACTATTGAGTGACTGACTGGCTTTTTTTCTTCTTTGGTAATAAAATACCTAAAATGAGCTGTAAAGGGTACATGAGCATTTGTCTACATCAATAACCCACTTCTTGTGATGGCCAAAATCAAACTGAATGAATCTTTGCGCAGCATAAAACGTACGACCATTCGGTAAAACGGTCTGAAAGTCAGACGATTAATTACTGGCTCTTTAGCTTTTAAGTCGATTCGACAACTAAATGGTCGTTATTTTCCCACTTAAAGACATTTTCAAGCCCCCTTTTCTTTAGAGAAGTTCTAAATTAGTATTATCTTTTAAATGCCGTTGGAATTTAACCTTTTCATTTTGGCCTGCATATGGGGCATAGTACCTTTAAGGTTAGCTTAAACAATAAAATGGAAAAATTACCATCAAATATTGGTGGCTCCCGACTGTTAAAAGGCTTCAAAGTATAGGCATAATTCCTTTGTTGCGCGTAGTTGCCATTTAGTTACACGTAAATAAAACCGCGCGCGGGTTTTTTTTTTTCTTCTGTATTCGGTGTTCAGTTACCGCGTTATATCTGTGCAAGCCTTGAATACGTTACCAAAACCACGCTTACCTACACATTCGACACCAGCGTCTTGAGTGTGATCGCAGTCCGTTCGTGAGTCTGGGACCAACTCACTCCGACAATCGCTAAAACTTTCTTCATCCCCAGTGCAGTGTACGCTGTCGAATATGTCTCCGGCAGCCCCTCCCCCGATGGTGAAGAACCTTCGCGCTCCTCGCTTAAAACCAACATCACGACAGACCACATTAGCTGCAGCCTGGTCCCACGTACTGTTACAGATGGTGCCTCTCAGCCGATTGTTGATGGTCACTTCTACTCGACCGTATTCAAGGTAACCAGGAATCGGGTTGATGATGTCGAGGGCTGTAAACAGTGTAATTACATGAGAAGTTAATAATGACTTTTATTAACAGTTATGCAGATACGGCTTCAGAAATACGAAAACAGGCAAATACTTGGAAAACAGCATTATCTCTCAGTGAGTATAGCGCCCTCAATTTTCACTGCAAGGTAGTATGGGAAAGGCATGGGGCGGATTTTTCGCAGTCAATCTAGTGTCGATATAGTTTTTTTGAGATAAAATAATACTTTGGTTTAGTTCTTTAGCATCCACATTGTTAAGATCATTCCAAATGGCAAAAATGTGAAATAAATATATCTACAGCATTAGTTTTAAAGATTGTTCATCGAGGAGAACAGCAGGTTGAGTTCCTCGACTTTTGTGCACATTTTGTCACGCAATGAACGATGATCAAGAGCACTATATTCCCGGTGCGTTATTCGCTGTTTTGCGGGTATTCGCTTGTACATGTATCCGGTTTCAGAAGTAGTGTCTAACTGTAATTTAATGTGTAATGTGTAATAATGCAATTATCTCTAATTTGTATGTAATAATGTAGTCATTATATGTAATTTTTATTTGATAATGTAAATTGTATGAATGTAGTAAGCGCATAGAGGATTGTCTTATTATTATTATTATTATTATTATTATTATTATTATTATTATAATTATTATTATTATTATTATTATTATTATTATTATCAATTAACTTGCCTCGGTAATAGACTATAATCAACCGGAGGTTTCCAGGTGATTTAATGTAATGTTTCAGACCATATCTAATAACATACTAGCTGAAAGATAAGAAAGCAAAAGTAAATTTGCACCTCCTACCGATTATCCATCTCTCAGAAATAGGTACAAAGATACAAAGCACAGAACAGTTACAAATGGATGTAGAGAAGGGGGACTTACATTTTTGTCCCTCTTGACACACAACAGCGGGTCGAGCGTTCTGGTTGCATTCTCCTTGAAAGGCCCATTCTATCTGAGGACAATCGGTGAAGTATTCTTCGTCTCCTGTACAGTTGATTGTGTTTACAATCGTACTCGGTGGAGTCGCTGGACCTCCTGTCGTGCTACTTATAAATACTGCATCTTGAAAACCAAGGTTAATGCAGAATATACGAGCTGCGTTGATGTTCCAATTGTCCAAGCAGAATGATCCCCAGGTCCGTCCATAATATACGTAAGGAATTCCTGCGAAATTTTCGTCTGACGTCAAACTGAGGCCCACAGCTTCGAGAAGTGTATTGATAGTAAGAGAGTTAACATAACGATAATTGAAAATTAATAAACATACCATTGATTTAGATGCGAGAATGATATTCTTTGTGTACATTAAAATAGACAATAAGTCACCCCTCAATTATATTTTATATTAAAACAAAGACTTATTCAAGATTATATGCAAGATCTACTCTTTACACACGAAGCATATAATATTTAAAACTTGTAATCAAATGCAAATGATTTTAACATTGTCCGGTACAACTTTTGAAAGATACAAGCTATTTGCAGTTCGCTTGCATGTACATTAAAAACAGACAAATTAACAAACAATTAAACAAACCAATACACATGCTTTTCCGTATGAAACTCGTTTCTTGTATCAGTCTCATACACCATACGTATGGTATATAGTTTTTGTTGTACGTCGGTTTTGAAGACCTTTTGAATCTTTCTATCATGCTCGATCTATTTCCTAATGTATCTCTTTGCTTTTGATGTCTCGTGGGCTACCGGTCTACTTGAATGTTCCAATTCAAACCTTTACTGTTGACCAATACATGTGTATTCGCACCTCATTTATTAGGGTACTGAAGTCCTAACGTCACATTCGCTGGTCGTCAAACTTACACACGCGAGATTCACCGCGAAATCATACATGCAACGGTCATTGTTTGTCGCTGGTGTGATCACCACGCCATTTTTTAGTGCAGCATTGTTTCGAACCAGCAACTTGGCCAGTATGAGGTCCCACTTCGGTGCTTTATGGAAAGCTAAAAAGCCGCGGGCTAAATACACAAAGATGAAACATCTTTCATTGTGCCTCTAAGAACCTCGATACCAATTACTTTCACTCTGAACATGACGGACAAAGAAAGAGGACAACATATACAGTTCCTCTTTCTACCCTCAACAATTGCTGTGGTAGACAAAGGAACATCCCTTCACTGCTATTATGTAAAAATGTGTAGAACAGATGATTATGCATGTGACACCTGTTCTACACATTTTTACATAATATCAGTGAAGGGATGCTCCTTTGTCTACCACAGCAATTGTTGAGGGTAGAAAGAGGAACTGTATATGTTGTCCTCTTTCTTTGTCCGTCATGTTCATAGTGTTCATTCACCTGTAAATACAAATAATTATATTTCTTAAGTTGTCTTTAGTTGTAGTTAAGTATGACCACCATGTACCTATCACGGATGGGCATTTGTCATTTTGTTTAAGGAATTCATTGTGATTGTCTCCGGCATTGTCGACTCAATAACATTCCGTACATGTGTCTTTACTTCGAACTCATGAGATCCGGCTCCAATCAGCCGGGACAGAGTCAAGAAAGTAATTTACACGTGTTAATATACATGTTCAGAAGATAATAAATCGCTTAAATCATGGGAAACCGATGTGCAGTTCTGGTTTATAATCGGAAATTGTTGTTCCGTGTACTGTGTTTTATTTTGAAAAACATGTTGATATTACCCGATAGAGGTTATATTTGGATTGTTTGTGATTTAAAATTCCGTTTTTCCCCAATTTCCTCATAATATTCCACAGTTACAACGCACAGCGCTTAAAAAGATCATGGCCTTCTAATAGACCAGTTCACGGTTAGCACCTTACTGCAATGACCCCGAATATCCACAGATCTTCAACACATGAAGAGGTCCCACTTTGTACATTTTGAAATAATCACTCCTACAGCGATGGAGGTGCTTTATAAATAGCCTTTGTTCACCCTTTTCAAAGAATACTTCCACCTGTGTACAATGGAGTGCACTGAATGTGCATGAATGAATAATGTTACATAACTTTCATGAGCACGTATCCAGTATTTCGTCTCTGTGTATTTCAAAATTTGTTCTGCAATGACCTTTATCTGCTCATGCTCAGACAGCAACCGTGAACTGGCTTATTATTCTATAAGGTCATTGGTGCGTGCGAAAGTGTGCTAATTAATGATAATTCATGTCGAGAGACTTTACAAAGACGTATGCAATAATTTTGGTTACATTACGAAAATTCAAGTCCGTTGCTTGAATGATTTCGTGGTGAACCTCATGCGCAGGCTCTGTTGTCAAATCAGTAACCTGGCCGTCGATTCAAGAAACCGTCATATAATGGTGGAATAAAAAAAAAATTACCCCGATTTATGGAAAGATTTTAACAATGATTTATTTCTACTAGATCTAGATAATAGTATACATTCTCAGATTTTATTGAATAATAATTTGTGAGTGTTTGTTTTTTGCATGACTGCTAAAGCATGTGTATGCTACTATGCTAATTAACTAGGGGACTAACGTCCTTAAGTCATAACTGACAGTAATGAGGATTAATGCCTCATAAAAGGGCACTCATAAAGCATATCGACACGGTTTTGATCCTGGGGGCTCAAAGCAACGAGGCCATTGCTTAGCCACTGAATCATGACTGTATGCAGCGGGGGTTAGGGTACGTCGCCGCCCCCACAAATACAAAAAAAAACAAATAAAATGCAATCAATTTTCAATGTCAGTTATGACTTATTAGGACGTAGGTCCCCTAGTTGATTAACATAGTAGCACACACATGCTTTAGCTTTGGGGTAAACAAATGTATTCCACCGTTATGACCAACAGTGTATATATAACAACAACAAGTTCGCAATTGAAACGTGTTTTTAATTTAATATACGCGTTTCATTGGGTTGTTGTAATGAAGTTGGCGTCGAGCGAATATGACGTTAGCAATCCGTTACTCTATATACTCACGGGGTTTGCATTGTACCCCGACGTCCTGCGCATGCGTACAGCTATCAGGTGTCCAGTCATCATCCCTCTCACATTCATCTAATCTATTTTGTTGGAAACATTGAAGGCCTCCAAGCACTATCGGCAGGTTGTCTTCTCCAGAGGCGGGGAAGGCATCAAGGGCACGACGAGGGTCGAATCCCAGTTGAGTACATGCTACTGTGCTTTCTGATTGGCTCCAGGTTTGGTTGCACACAGTTCCCCAGCCTTGGTTCTCATCCAGGTATTCCAGTCTGCCTTTACCAAATGATGTAACATCCCCCAGTCTTACAGAACCTATGTACATTGTAAAAAAGGAAAAAACAATGTGGTAAGGAAAGTCTACAGCGAGTCATCACTCAACAACTAGATCTTCTTAGATTTATCGAATTTTTGGATAATTTTGCCACCCAAGGACCCACCAGACGATCATGGTTTTGAATGCCTGTATTTTCCACAAAATTCATTTTTATTATTATCATTGTTGGTGTGGTTCTTTAATACTTACATCATCATTATTAGGACTTGGTATGAAGTATTTGGCGTCACCTGTTCCTGGGAGTGGAACGGATAGCGCAGTGGGTTCTTGACGTACAAAAGTGATGACCCTCCCCTACTAGGGGCCTCCATTTAACGTCCTATCCGAGGGACGCGGAGTGTGTTCCATTATAACATAGCCTGCGTCCATCGAACAGAATGGAAAGCTCATTTTTGAATGGCTTGAATCCAAAGAGCTAGTGTTACTGTTTGACAGCAAGGACACCCCACATTTCTTTTAAATTGAATTGATAACTTTATTTATACACGGTTAAAAAGCCCAAACAGTTACAAGACTGATTTCCGTTGGGGCCGTGTGAACGATGTAAATACATCGAATTAACATAAAAATGACAATGGTACATCAAATCACATATTTAAAACAAACAGGAAATAATCAAGATAAATATTTTTAAATAACGATAGAATAGCACTGCCGAAATATGAATAACAATGGTCATGGGTGACCGCTTGTTTTTAGGGCATCGCTCGGTCGCTGCTGAAATTTTAGCGCGGAGTTAAAATTCGGGCGGCGCCTGCTCACTTTTACTACCCGCCCAAAGTAGGCTCGGTGCCCGGGCGGTCGCCGTCCGTGCACCGACCTAATCGAGCGTTCGCCGTCGAGCGATTTAGGTCAAAAATCGAAGCCGCTAAGTCAAAGGCTGCTGAGCGTTCGCCGCTCGGTCGCCGCTCGGTCGCCGCCCGGTCGCCGCTGGGGGATCAGTCGGTCACTGGGCGGCGAGTTCAAATTCGGTCAGCAACCTTTGACCTAGCGGCTTTGATTTTTGACCTAACTCGCTCGACGGCGAACGCTCGATTTGGTCGGTGTCCGGGCGGCGAACGCCCGATCACCAAGCGTATTTTGGCGCCCCGTCGATCACTGGCCAGCTGCCGGGCAATTTCCTTAAAATTAGCCGGTGGCCGGTGGGATACCGCTCGGGTATCGGAGGGGCATTGGCACGCCGCCCGGAGAAGCTTTCCGATTTTGCCCAGTATTGACCTAAAATTGACCGTCGACCGACGGGAAATCGACAGGGCACCGCCCAGGCATCGCTTGGGCTCTACAGCCTGCTCGACTTCTCCGCGGCGACCGAACAGGCTACTACTTGGTCGGTCGCTGCTCTGATTTGTGACCATAGCTTTACTGCGGCATTTTACACAGTATTATCATGCTGCTTGTACAAGACCGGTTATTTATTCTTGAAACGGCGAATGCAGCAGGAATGGAGATTCCGCAATGGTGTGCCGCAAGCCTCTATCCTCATTCGGATACTTCTCAACATATATGTTTCTGATATGCCATTCAGTATTCCTATGTAGATGCCACCACACTGGGGTTTGACAACCGCTCCTCCGAGGCAATCGAAACATCACAGGCGAAGGACCTGGGCATGGTAGCTTTATTAACCAACAGATGGCATCTCAAGATGAGCCTACCGAGAGTTGAATATCTCACTAAATAGGACTAGGTTGAAACTCGACCCCACACCAAAGTACCCAGGTGTCACTCTTGATTGAAACCTCACCATCCACAAGCATGCACAGCCACAGCTCAAAAAACCCAAGCCAGAGTGTCTCTCCTAAAGAAGCTTGCTGGGACCGGATGGGGAGCTGATTTTACCACCCTTTGCTTCTCTACCCTAGCCATTGCCTTCTCCACCGCCGAATATGCCGCACCCGCATGGAGCCACAGCACCCATGTACATAAGGTTGATGTTGTCCCCAGTGGAGATATGAGACTAATCAGCGGGACACTCACTCAAAAACCTTCCAGCACCCTGCCAATACTGTCTGGCATACCACCAGCTCAGCTCAGACGAGATTTGCAGCACATTAAGCTTTCCCCAAAGCATGACAGAGATAAATGCCTTGTTCCTGCCCCCTCTGCCTTTGAAGGACAGCGTCTCCATTGAAGACAATCTGCAACACAGGCTGCTGAACTGCCGCTTGAGAAGCCCCCTGCACCTAACCCACATGGATAGCAAAACGCTGGTCAGACCAGTGGAATTCTTCTACTACCAACTTGAAGGAGTTCCTCCCAGAGCCCTGTGCAAAACCAAGTGGCAGTGACCTCTCAAGAAAAGCCTGGGTCACCCTCAACCGTATCAGAACTGGAGTTGGCCTTACACAATATGTCCTGCATACAATTTGAGCTGATTTATCACAAAACTGTGCCTGTGGAATGATCCAAACTATAGATCACGCCACCAATGCTTGTCCTATCTACAAATACCCCTCATGGTGCTTCTGCATTTCGAGAGCTCGATGATTAGACCATCAGTTGGTTAAATAAGGATCTTCCTATTTATATGATCTACTCCTTGATATTCTTCGTGCGAACGAACGAGTACATTATGCCATGTAACACTAAATCTTAGACCTATATAGTGTTGTTTTTTTTGTGTGGCTAGGGGAGGTTTAGTAATGGAAAAGATAATAATAATAATAATGATATTAATGATAATTATGATAATAATGTATATAGTAATAATAATTTAGTTCCATTCAAACCAATTCAAAATTTAATTCCTTTCAAAAATGTAAATCTGAAATCTAACAGAGATACAGTATTTGAAGCATAAACCTAATTATAAACAAATTGATAAAAAGAGTCAGATCTACATGTACCTATTTAAACAGATGACAATGCCCGATGAATACAGGCACATCAAACGCGGACATGAGTGAGGTTACTTACAAAAATTATTGTGAACAGAAAAACGGAAAAGAAAAATAACAGTAGTAGGGCCTAGTATTAGTTATAGTATTGGTGGTGTTTAATATTAATAATAAGAATAATAACAATTACAATAATATGCCGTTTTTATGATATATAGGCCTAATATTATGTGATATATTACAATATACACAATGAATAATAATATATGTATTATGATTTATGAAATATATATGACAGGGCTAGGGGTAAAAGACTAACCTGAAGAAGTACAGACCACGCCCACGTCTTCCGAATGGTCACAAGCGGTGGTTCGAATCGCACTGTGTGAGCATTCAAACAGGTTTGCCTCATCACCAGTACATTGTACCATATCCAGTAGTACATCGCCTTCTCCTTGTCCAAACTGACCGGCTATTACAACCTCATCTGCTCCAGTATAACCCAATTGTTTACAAAGCACACTGGCTTCCCTGATAGTCCAAAGATTATCACAGACGGTGCCCCATTGTCCTTCGTAGTAAACTTCAACTCTTCCCTCTGATTTACGAGATCCATCAACCAGACGGGCACCAATAACTTCAGGAGCTGTTTATTGAAGATAGAGAATATATAATTTTATGAAGGAGAGAGATATCGAGATGATTAAAAGAATAAAATGACTTGGAATGAAGAGATAGATGACAAAACATAACGACAAAAGCAGAGTGTTTACGACGTGTGAAATGACCACAGATATAATCCTACAGTACAGGTCCTTTATAAGCGAATTTTTTTCAAAGAATACATACATACATCTGCACAGTATTGACACACTTTGTCCCAAACGTTTTGATGCTCACATAATCATGACAAACACAGTAACACACTGAGTACACAAACATCAAATAGTTTATTCACCAGATAATAAAAATAGAACAGACTACAGATAAACATATATTTATATATATCTGATCATGATGTAAATAAAGTTCTCGTGTTGAGGGATAGTTAAATAATTAAACATTTAAAAAAAGAAGATTAATCGTTTTTATTTCTTTTAGCTGCAAAGCATTCCCAAAGAAGAACGCCTTGTTAATCACATATATCCTTTTGCGAATTTGCCTTGGAAACGCTATAATAAGGATCACAATTCATTGAGAAAGACTGTAGGTAACGTCGAAATATTCTAAGCTATATCAGAGAACTGATGGATTACAAGGCTTGAAACTTTTTTGTTTAATTTTCGCGTCACGATCTTATTATGCCCACACGTGAACTTGATATCGGATAGAGGGTATATTAAACAATTATTTGAATATAATTTTATATAGACTGAAAAAATGAAAAGCTTGACAAAAGCTCAGGCATAATACCATTTCTGAAACTGCACAATAATTCGTTATTCTCTGCAAAGAGCGCTGGCAGAGGATAGCTTCAGCAATGTTTCACAAAAATGTGTCTAGAAAAGATTTTGGCCAAATTCTGCTTAATTTTTCCTTTTAAAGAGATTTCTATGTACTTAATTCAGAGAAATGTGACCCGTTCTTATTGGATAGTCCTTTTTTCCCGGAAAATTAAATACCAGGATTTTGAAAAAGTCTGTTGAGAATGTTTCTTTTACAACTTTTAAAATATTTTTAAAGCTATGAAAGGTAGATATCCTTTTTAATACGCATCGATTTTTATTTTGTATTTTGTATTAATCAGGAAATTTTCATTCAAATGATACATGACTATTTTGCTTTTATAAAACACAAGCATAACTAAACAAAATTGAAAAAAAATTCATGCTGAATATGTAGGAGATAACGGAGAGAGTATTGAAGCTGTTGACTACTGAATGGTCATACTTTCTATAGGTATTGATTTAATTTTATTTGATGTTCATTTATTTTCCATGTACATCATTACAAATATGTGATCTTTTAAGCATATAATGTCACATAAAATCACACATAAAACCAGGGGTCGTCATATTATTAAGCACAGCTTAAGCTGACGTCCTCATCATAGGTAAAAAAAAAATTAAAACAACGGATATACATAATCTTGATGTAAACAATGCCGTATCAGGACAATTACCTCCTGGGCAATCACCCCCAGAAAATTACCCCCCCCCCCGGAAAACTACCCCCGTAGGACGATTACCCCCCGGAAAATTACCCCCCGGAGAACTACCCCCCCCCCCCGAGGACAACTACCCCTGAGGAAAACTACCCCCCCCCCCCCCCCCCCGAGGACAATAACCCCCGGAGGACAACTACCCTCAATGACAATCACCCCCAGGAATTTATAACACTGTGACGTATAATTCAAGCTTATCTCCAAGTTGCTTTTTACAGACAAATTCATTAACCTTCATTTTCTTTGTAATTTATGAAGTTCATTTCAGTCTTTTCAAATTATTCAATTCGATATGGGGGGTGGAGGTTCCCCAATTCCCCCGTAGATTTGCTACCAAGTAAACAACAGAAATAACATTTCTTAGAAAATGAAAAATACATTGCGGGCAGATGAGTACGCGTTACAGCCTCTTTCACCAACAAAGGCACAACAGAGAAATTGCTCTGATCTCTGTTTATGACGTGATTGTGAAGATACAATTTATTCTTGACAGACATGTCTAAACACCAAGGCATTATTAATACAAATTGTTTAGTATACTTAGAATAACAGGTTCAATTTCAAAACAAAAACCACCCGGTTCCATCATACAATGTGTTAATATGTGTTTGTTTCTTTTCCCCATCAAGAGAACGTATTGTGATATCTCTTCGTTAGAAAAACAACAGTTCATAATCAAAATATTTTTAAAAAAAACTCTCTCTCAAAAGAAAAATCGAATGATCACTGGCATTACCTCTAAAAAGTGAAAATGTAGTAAACATTTAGTGAAATTCACTCTTGTCTTTGTAGAGACCACTCTAAAATATATTGATACTCCTTCCTAAACAAGTGATCACTGACGTGACTTACAGGGGAATAAAGGAGTGAAATTCACCTTCTTCTTTTTTTATGGCGAGTATACTTCGTAATGTCTTTGTAAATTTTAAATTTTCATGCAACCATATTTATTGCAAAGGTCTTAAGTATTAGATACGATATGTTTCAGTCACGTGTTACGAATAGTTATATCTCAGTAGTCAGAATGCAAATTGCATTAGTTGTTACCAAGTAGGACGAACATTATATCTTGCCTTACCTAACAACGTATATTATATGCCATTTGAATTCGAAATATTGAAAAACAAAAAAATTCATGACAGGTGGATGACATGATTTGTACTTTTAGAAACACTTTACAAAGATCTATGCATTAAACTTGGTTACATTACGGAAATGGCCTATTGCATAATTTTTCTTATATTACCCCATCCCTCTCCTGCCACAAAAAAGGCTAAAAGTGAATATGAAACAACAGGAAGGTTTGAAATGAGTTACAGGCATGACATGAAATGAGAAAGATTAATTAAATAGCTATAACCCAAAGGCCTTCTTTTTCAGTCCATGTGATTTTACATCAAACGATAGCACAGAATAGCAAGAATAATAAATTAGAGAAAAGGAAAACAATCAATGTCGCATTCCGTACATGTACATTACACGTATATGTCTAAAACAAAGATGTCTTAATCATAGAAACGGTCCAAGTTATTATCCATGTTACGTTTAATGGCGTCTGATTCTATATACGTATTTCAAATTCATATTGGTTTGCAATTCCTTGTACACGCCACGGAATATAAACGATAAACCCCCTTCCCCCGCCACCACTAGATGAGAATGCTCCTCACAATGCGTTTATATACAGCCATTAATCCGTCACCTTTAAGTCTAAATTGTAGAAATAATCGAAGTTATTATTAATATACACATTGCGTCCTAGAGCAAACTGTGAGCTGTAGAAATATATTTCCTGATATGTCTTTACATCAAGTAGATGCATTATGCTTTCAAATTATACAAATCTATACACGCTACACTGAGAAACATTATCTGGCAGTCTGGCACTAATGGATTTGACACGCCGTTTTAAAACAATGTTGCTCAGAGAAGAGTGTATGAATTATTGTCACCAATTTATCATTCGAGACCATATTACTTCTTTTTTATGAAAAGCAAAATGTTGATTAAAAACAGTTCATGTTTTTCTCGCAATCACCGTTTGTTTTGGGGTTTCCTTCTTTCTGGGACGCACGGTATATACTGGCGTCTGGTTCTATACTACACGTTGGTCATACTCACATTCGGTAGTCATTCCTTGTACACGCCACCATAGTACATGCATACAGACTAGTATCTGAAGTATAGGAAGAAATGTCCCCATCTTTATATTTCACGATTTATGAGACACACCTGTTATTGAATGAAGTATTCTGACACTATGAGCAAGTAAAAAGTGAGCAATGCATCTCTTATACCAGCATCTCGCATGCGGACATCACGTGATGGCATGTCAATATTGACATTTTGAGGTCATGTTTGCATACAATTTTGACCAATATAGGTCGTTATGACGTCACACAGTGTTATAGCGTATTCAAGTAAATGGCGTTCTTTAAATGGCCGACATATTTTGGGTTATTTTGGGGTATTATGTTATTAAGCGACAGCTCAAACGTTGACTATAGACAAATATTTATTTGAAAGAAATCAAATATGTGCTCAATGAGTACTCATTTTAAGTATAGGTCGATATTGTACAATAATACTGCCAGGAATTCATCCAAACATGTTTCACTTTCAGATTAGTTTTATTTCATATGTTACATTTATATATTTACTCTCTGCAGGCGCGTACGCAGGGGAAGAGTTTTGGGGGTTCAACCCCCCCCCCCCCTCAAATTTCGTTTTAATAAAAAAAAAAATTAAAAAAAATGTGCTAAAGGGTGAACAAAAAAAAGTGTTCTTACCCCTCCCCCTACTGAATATCTCCGGGAGAAAAAAGAAGGAATATGTGCTCTTGACCCCCCCCCCCCCCTCCCCCACTTATTCACCTGCTGGCTGAGTCGTTGCGAAAGTTGCGGAGGGGACGGGTAGTGAGCACTATTTTTTTTTTATTTTTTTTTTTTTGCTCCCGAAAAATTGATTAATCCCTTATGGGATACTAAATATTGGCCCCATATGGGATACATATTATATGGGTTCCATTTAGCCCAGATGGCACAAGTGACCCAGATCATCCCCAATGGACCCCATATGGGCTGTTGCCTGGGGAGAATGGAAAAGGGGAAGAAACGGGCAGAAGAAAAAAGGAAGAAAGACAAGAGAAAGACGATTTTGTCCAAATGGCAGCATGTAGGAGACGAAACTTTCAGTTTGTTCCCTGATTCATACTCAGTATCTATTTTTTTTTGTTGATTGATTTCATCCATTTCTTTGTTTATTTATATCTCTACATGTAAAACATTTGAAGAGCTATTTTCCAAAAGGAGCAAAATCTTTTGATAGCAAATGGAGATAATGATATACATTTTCCTCTATTTACCTTTAACAAAGTTATTAACCTAAATTACGAGAGATAGTATGAACACATGCATTTTTTAATAACAATTTTCCATAGACACCTGAAAAAAATCGGGTAAACAAAAAGTTCTTTCTTAAGTTACACACATGGATCTAGTGCCTCTTGAAAATAAGCTCGTTGTAAGTACATAAACAAGCAATACAACAGAAATATTTGGGTCACAACCCATTTTTGTTTTATTGAAAAGCTGATGTAGGACTATGTATTGTATTCAAACGCAACAGGCATAATATAGTTAGTGTGTTTTTGAAGGTTAGAATTTGATTAAGTTTGAAGTTTTGTGTATAACACCCTTCCAATAATAATGCACCTTCTAAGACTGGTTAAAGTTTTTGAAGAAGAAAATAGTGCTCTGGTCAGGGCCTTAGGGGAATATTATGCTTATATTTAAGAGCGTATCTGGTATGATAAGTATATCTTGGTGAAGAAGGAGATAATGGAGGTTAGTTGTCTGGTAGTTAGAATGTAAGTTTTATATAATGTTTCTAAGAAACAGACAGTTTGTATGAGATCAGGAGTGGACATTTTCTGTCATTTTGAGAACCAAATTTTGCATCAGTGATATTCTGTTTCATTGAATTGAGTTTCCCGCAGAGAAAATTTAGTTGGTTTAATTAACTATAAGGAAGAGAGTCAAATGAAGAACCAAAAGCAATATATTTTTCATTTACTAATGAGAACAGCTATGTTTTTTGGAGATCTCCTTACATAGAATATCGGAATGGGTTTTTCACGATGAATGATCTTTTGAGACATCAATATTCATGAAAATGTATGTTTCTATCACCAGGAAATAAAGAATGTTCTGTCGACATGAACTTTTCCTGGTTGCTTTTTAATGAATTTTGCCCACTGGTAACATAATACTTTCACAAGTTGATATCCCTCACCATTTGATTTTTTGTTGGTAATGTCTAAATTTCGTTTAAAAATAGATGATATCAATCTGGTAGGCCTACACTGCAGGCAAGAGTCAGGACTAACATTTAGCATGTTATAATTGTATTACCATATTCTCTGAAATGTTATCTTTATTGAGGGTGACTTGAAGAAGTTAATAACTTGGAAGGAAGGGGCTGCAACCTGCCACACGCTTCTACCTCTTGGTTGCTTTGATCCATTGCCGAACGTATTTTGGCACCTATCATCACGGATACAAATCGACACCCCTGCCCTATACTGAGATACAGTATCTTAGGTGAGGCAAGATTAAACTATAATACAAAGTGACGAGTACGTTTTGTGGTAATATAAATTTGAGCCTTGATATGATTCCTATTCATCTTTATACTTTAGTACAGATATGTGGTTTCCAAGAGAGAAATTCGTTGACTGCAATACCTAAAAATTGAACATTATCCACACCCTCCTGTTCCTTGTTCTGAAAATCATAAACTTTGTTTAGTCAAAATTCAATGAGAGTTTGTTGCAACAGAACCAATCATATAATTTATTAACTTCTTTATTAGTAATGGACATCAAATTATAGACATTTTTGTGAGAAGTTAAGATGCACGTGTCATAAGCAAATAATGAATAGCGAAATAATTTGGAAGATTTTGTGATATTATTTATATAAACAAGGAACAGGAGGGGCCCAAGTACAGAGCCTTGCGGAATTCCATATTTAATAAGTTTACGTTGAGATTGGACACCATTGACCACAACATACTGATACCTATTATTCAACTAATTTTTAAACCAATCTAAAGCTAGCCCTCTTACACCATATACATTTAGTTTACGTATGAGTATGTTGTGGTCAATGGTGTCAGAGGCTTTTGACAAATCCATAAATAATCCAATACAGTAATTGCCTTCATCATTTTTTTGTGATATAAAATTTGCGATATTTAATACACCCATAGAAGTTGAACAATTTTCACGGAAACAAAATTGTTCAGGTATGAGGATGTCATTAATTTGAAGGTGGGAATACAATCTTTTATGAACAACTTTTTCTAGAATTTTGGAGAAAAATGGTAACAATAATATAGGTCTGTACTTTTCCAAATTTTGAGGGTTTTTCTTTTTGTAGACAGGTTTAATCTTGGGAACTTTGAGTCTGTCAGGTATACTCCCTTGTGATAAAGATTTATTAAATATTACACAAAGCTGATCAACAAGTAAATGAATAGATTCCTTAAGAACTTTGGGGGCCATATCATCAGACCCACTTGCTTTTGATGAATTCATAGAAGAAACAATTTTTAGAATTTCATATACAGATGTAGGTTTAAATATAGGAATAAAGAAGAGTAGCTCTTATCAGCAGGCATGAAGTCATGAAACATATAAGAAGAGGTAGGTATATCCTGAGAATTTTGTCAGCAAAATAATGGTTAAAGGAATCTGAGATAACATGAGGTGAGGACAGTTGAACATTTTCGCGATACATTTTCGCATGATTATTTTGACGCCTTTTCCCTAAAAGTCCATTGATATTACTCCAGGTTTTTTCATGTCACCTTTTATCTCATGAAACATATTATAAAAATATTTCTTTTGAGAAGATCTAATAGTAGCAGTAAGTGAGTTTTTATACTTTACATAATTTTTTTTACTAACAATTTTTTTCAAGTATTTATGATATAATTTCTGTTTGACATGAATTGATTTTAATATACCAGTTGTAATCCATGGTCTTTTACACTTCAATTTAGAACTATGCCTCTAAATGCCTCCGAACAATGCTGGAATATCTACACAAATCAAATTCCCAAAGTGATAGCAAACTTAATGGAAAATATTATTACATTCAGAAAGTAATAGACCGACTTAATGTCCTCTCGAGAACGTTTGCTTGAGCTTTCCACTGTTCTATCTTTAGTTTGGTTTCCATCTTCGAACAATGGACGTTTCCGTTTCATTGTCTTAATAACAATTGCCAAGCATCAGAAACATGATGACACAATCTAATCATGCCGAATTTGTATCATGGATATTTCTTCCCTTGCCTTTATTCATTGTAATCCGGGTCATGTGGTAAATAGGGCGCTGTTCACGTGACGTTGTTCAACGAAATAAACGTACGTCGATGAAGAGGGTGTCGAACCACTGATCAGTTCCTCATTCATAGGCAAAACATCGTCTAAATCGGCAACCGCCGGGGAAGAAGGAGCATCAGCGGCAAGATTTCTTCATAAGGAATTTGTATTGGATGTAATTTTTTCAAGGAAATTATTAATATATAGCTTTTGACTTTCTTTGAAAAATCAAAGGAGTGAATACGTCGTTCGTGAAATGGCAATCTCTAATCGATGGATTAGTGGTGTCTTCTTGTGCCTGCTGCTGTCATTGTCTGTCTCGGCTTCAAATGAAACAGCAGTCGACCCTATCTGTCCTGATGATAGTGCTATCCGAACATCCCAATGTAAGGAATTAAGAGCCATTTTAATTTATCGTTATACTTTTAGTTTGTCTGTTTTTTTATCCAAAATGAATGTTTGAAACCTCGAGTAAACCCATTTTAAATAAAAGCTGAAAATTCCTAGCAGTCTTGTTTTCAAGATGAGTTAAAGTTGTTTTTCGGACTTTGATGATTCTATAAGGATCGACGAAGAAAGTAAACAAAGAAAAACATCAATTCTGGATCATTGATGTGCAGTGAATTATCATCCCGGTCAAGAGAAATAATGTACTACTACAGTGTGAGTTTTAAAAAAGTGTACACCTACAAAATTGTCAATTATTTAAAAAAAACATCTACGAACAGTAATCTTTTTACATCTTATGATAGAGTGTTATATCCCAAATCATTTGGTTGTTATTTTTTGTGTGGTATGTGTTCACGCTTGAATGAAAAGGAGGCATTG